ATTGATGACGTGCCACCAAAGTTATACCGTACAAACTATAGATATTCAGCTTCAGATTCTTGCATACATGGTCATACATTTCTCGGAAGACCCAGACCATGTTCTGCACATGTTCTGCAAAATGTTTCCCTTCTTTTTCAGATTATCCAAATCGGGAGGTAGGTGGGATAAATCTTTGGAAACTAAAGTTAGTTAGATAAAATTGGTTATTCATCGACATACATAGTGTTTGTCTCAGTGCAAGGTGAGTTTGTCTCATAGAGTAGTCCTTTCGACTGTAGCTGAATATCTATAGTCTGCTCGGTATAACTTTGGTGGCACGTCATCAATTGTCGGTCCAGCGTTGTTGCCATACTTAAATTATTTATTATTATCAAGACCAGTCTCGCTCATCACTAAAGCCAGGCTTAATTCTCTTCAGGAAATGGCAACAATTTCAGCTGAATCTCACTGAGCAATGTTGATGGTTCAGTGTCACTCAGCATCATTGAACGCATTAGTTTCCGCAAAGTTTCATGAACCGGAAAACCGGCCGCATGCAAAAAGAGTTTCCGAATAAGCAGGAATGAAGGTGCATCGCAGCTCGGTCCTCAGGGGGCTTCCGATCTGAAACATTTCCATATTTCATAAAACTTTGTTTGCTAACCTAATTTGCGATGCTGTCAGGGCAAATCTCTCTGCGGATATACAGCTCTCGAACATCACTTGTTTTGAAAGCGAAAAGTGCTTTTGCCAATATTCATCCAGTTCCACTCGGTTTTGTGTGTAATGTCGAAAAACACGTAAATGGTTGATGCCATTTCCGTTGTTTTTCAGGCAAAGTTTTGAAAAGCGGCTGGTTCGATGATGAAGATTTTCAATATTTTCAATATTAAAGTGTTCTTGTTACCAAACCGAACCCAGCCAGGATGAAGATGAGAAAATGCGCAATCAGTTTGAATCTTTCATTATTTATTAACTGTGCTCGGCTAGTTTATTCGTTGTTGGCTTCCGGGCGCAGTTTGAGAAAAACGCAATAAAGCGTTAACATGAAAATATTATTAGTTAAAGTTCCGCAAAAGCTTGGTTTTAACTGCGGGGTTTCCTGGCCGCAACCATTAAACTAAAGAATGTTTCGTGTGTGCATTGTAAACCGTTCTCATGCCAAAGTGGGTTTTATTGTGCAAACGGATGTTGTGCAACCCCTTGCGGGTTTCGGTGCAATGGAAATTTGTTGCTGGAAAAGCACGAAATTGTTTTATTGCTAGTTATTAGAATTTAGGATTTAATTGGGTTGCATGTTTTAAAACTTTGTCAAATTCAGGTTTATGACGGCGATTTAAAACGAAAAACGTCGTAGAAACGTTGTTTCAATATTATTTTGCTTCATTTTGATTTTTTAAAATTTCCATGCGGTTTTAGTGGCTGCCTTTTCAACAAAGTTTTGGTTGTTTAATAACCATCTTCTTCTCCTGGTAATCAACTAGGGCTAGGATACAAGGGCAAAAGAACGATGAGAATAAACCAGCAAAAATTGAGAAATACTAAGCTTGATGCACTTTCACATAAGCAATTAAAGCAAGAGCAGACAACTAAATAACGAAATGCAAACATTCAAAGAAAGGTTACTAGTATGTATTTTACAACGGCTTTTAGCCTTCGACTCATCTTTCGAGGACCATTTGAGCTGCACTACTATTTTTCCTAGTGTGGGAAAGAACACTAAAGTGCGCACATTTTTTATGCAGGTGATTATTTCCGAAATGTTTCTTGTTTTCACGCCAAATGCAAAAATTTAATAATAATATGAATCTCGAAACCCGCTCTTAGCCTTCGGCTTATATTAAGAGGATCAATCGAGCTGTGGAGCTCTATTTGCTACCATCGTATAGAGCCTTAAAAGGTGCACGTTTTTGGATAAAACATGACCCTCGACATGTTTCCAGTTTTTACGCCAAATGCGAAAATTCAAAAATTATATGAATCTTGAAAACCGCTCTTATTCTTTTGCTCATATTTTGAGAACCAATCGAGCACCGAAGCTAAAAATGCTTACTTCTTGAATGTAAAACATTATTTGTGAAATGTTTCTTGTTTTCACGCAAAATCCAAAAATTCAAAAATTATATGAATCTTGAAAACCGCTCTTAAACTTTTGCTCATATTTTGTGAACCAATCGAGCAGCGAAGCTCTAACTGACAATGCGCGATAGAGCATTCAAATGCGTACTGTTTTAATGCAAAAGATTATTTGTGAAATGTTTCTCGTTTTCACGCCAAATGCAAAAATTCAAAAATTATATGAATCTTGAAAACCGCTCTTAATCTTTTGCTCATATTTTGAGAACTAATCAAGCAGCGAAGCTCTAACTAATATTGCGCGATAGCGCATTCAAATGCGTACTTTTTGAATGTAAAACATTTTTTGTGAAATGTTTCTTGTTTTCACGCCAAATGCAAAAATTCAAAAATTATATGAATCTAGAAAACAGCTCTTAATCTTTTGCTCATATTTTGAGAACCAATCGAGCAGCGAAGGTCTAACGGACATTGCACGATAGAGCATTCAAATGCGTACTGTTCTAATGTAAAATATGATTTGTGAAATGTTTCGTGTTTTCACGCCAAATGCAAAAATTCAAATATTATATGAATCTAGAAAACCGCTCTTAATTTTTTGCTCATATTTTGGAACTAATCGAGCAGCGAAGCTCTAACTTACATTGCGCGATAGCGCATTCAAATGCGTACTTTTTAAATGTAAAACATTATTTGTGAAATGTTTCTTGTTTTCACGCCAAATGTAAAAGTTCAAAAATTATACGAATCTTGAAAACCGCTCTTAATCTTTTGCTCATATTTTGAGAACTAATCGAGCAGCGGAGCTCTAACTAACATTGCGCGATAGAGCATTCAAATGCGTATTTTTTTAATGTAAATTATTATTTGTGAAATGTTTCTTGTTTTCACCCAAATGTAAAAATTCAAAAATTATATGAATCTTGAAAACCGCTCTTAATCTTTTGCTCATATTTTGAGAACTAATCGAGCAGCGGAGCTCTAACTAACATTGCGCGATAGAGCATTCAAATGCGTACTTTTTGAATGTAAAACACTATTTGTGAAATGTTTCTTGTTTTCACGCCAAACGCAAAAATTCAAAAATTATATGAATCTAGAAAACAGCTCTTAATCTTTTGCTCATATTTTGAGAACTAATCGAGCAGCGGAGCTCTAACTAACATTGCGCGAAAGAGCATTCAAATGCGTACTTTTTTGTAAACAAAAACAAAACGAAACAAGTTAACAGATTCTTAGACAACTCGGACTTTATAAAGCAGCACACCCAACCAACCTTTCTGATGCCAGGAAACCCAGACTCAGAACAGAACATAAAACCAACTAACTATAACGTTTAACATAGACAGCAAACGCAAACTACCTTCAGACCTGAAGAGAAAAAGTTAAACCTTAATAAGACCGACTCGCAAGCCTTAGCGGACACCGCTTAAAGCTTCATGCAATGCGCCCATGTTTCTTGTCTTCTGTTCTTTTCGCCTTTCTGCTTGTCTGGAGCTCTCTCGGTCTGGAAATTTGCAAAATACGTGCGTTAATTGGCTGGTTTAGACCAGTAATGTATTACTAATTATTGAGGCCTGAAACTCGAGGTCTTTTCCACAATCCCATCGGTTGGTTTACGTTTTAGCGACCGCCCATTTCTCATTTGTGCTTTTATTGACCAAAAACTCGATCTGACAACAAATTTGATAAAAGTTCGATTGAAGCGACGAACGGCAAATTGTAAAACATCCTTCAGCTCTTCGGTACATCAGACACGACAAAATAAACGAGAAACAGTCGAGGCAAAAGACGATTCGAAGAAAGCGCCAGTAACAGTCACACATACAAAATGAGAAGAAGATGACAGAAGCAGGCACATGCCAAGTTACGAGACACTTTAGATCATCATTCATGAAGACTCTCAGAGTCAGTTTGATCACGCAACTTTGTAGCTTTTAACAAAACAGTTCAAAGCAAGCACTTTGATTGGAAAAAATCTTCCAAATCACTAATAGTTGATCAAAAGACATTGGAAAATCATCCAGAGCTGTTAAAGAGCCGCATTTTAGAAAGATTTGAAGGAACATACTTAGTAAAGCCCCTCGTTAACTAAACATGTTGCCTAACGTGCCAAAGCGTAATAAAACAACCGTTGATGGGCGTGCATGATCTATTATCCTGACGAAAATTGCTTGTTCGCGGAAAGTAAAATATAAAAAACACCGTTCTCTCCCTGGACACAAAGCCCTTGAGCGAAAAATCGAGCCTCTAATAAAGTTATTATAAGTCAGGCGGTGTCCTAATAACGGGGTAGCAGCCACCAGGACACGG